TCACACAAACCAGTTCTCAAAGTTTATGCAAATTACTCAATTGTAAAAAAAAAAAAAAGAACTTTCTTTGGGTGTTAAAATATAAAAATATTAATTTTACATGCTTAAATGTTGCTCAGGGACATCTCAGAACCCTTTAGGGCAATGTCTCTCTCTCTCACTATATATATATATATATTTTTTTTTTTTACAATCATTTGAAGAGAATAGGCCCACATGGAATTTTTCACATAGAAACCTCTAAAGTTCTTTAGCTAATTGAATCAATCTCATAATATATATATATATATATATATATATATATATCATATTTAATTTCATTTTTGTTTTTCATAATCCGCATAAAAATGGCATAAAAAAACAGTCAAAGATTCCATCTGAATCTTTGAACCAAATTGCTAATATGACAATGTTATTTAACAGAAACAATCATTTAAAAGTCTGGGGTCAGTAAGATTTTTTCTTTTTTTTTAAGAAATTAACTTTTATTCATCAAGGATGCATTCAACTGATCGAAAGTGAAAGACAGTATAATGTTAAAAAATTTGGAGTAATGGCTGCTGAATATTTAGCTTTGCCATCACAGGAATAAATTGCATTTTAAAATATGGTACAATAAAAAAAAAAAAAGTTATTTTAAAATGTAAACACATTTCACAATATTACCATTTGTACTGTATTTTTGATTAAATGAATGCAGCTTTGGTGAACTTAAGAGACTACTGACCCCAAACTATTGAACTGTAGAGAGAGAGCGTATGTACTTCTATGTGAGTGTTGCTTTAGAAATGCTAAACAGATTTGAAATCAGAAGTGCAGTGATTCCTGAGATATGAAGACTTACCCACAGCTGAGGCAGATGCTGGAGCAGGTAAAGTATTCATCTGGAAAAAAAGAGTTGCTTGCCAGATGCTCATCAGGAATCTCTCCACTGAAGCACTCACTCAAAGCCTGGAGACCAAAAGCTTGATCAGCCACACAAACTACTGTACACTACAATTTACACACTTTCATGTCATCGATAAGCTAAAAGTGTTATTGAGCTTATCAATGACAAAAAAAAAAGAATACCTGCAAGGCTTTGTAGATGACACCAGCAGACCGTGGAGATCGTGTAGTGTTGTTGTCTAACTGCTGCTCCACACTGCGCAGCAGACCGCTGAAGTCAGTCGGGGGGTTGTGGGTTCGAGTGCCCCGGTACTGAATAGAGCTGAATGCTTCTGGAAAGAGGCCAAGCTTTCGGAAACGTTCCTGAAGAAGCCGCTCTGCTGATTCTGATGGCTTGTCTACAGGGGGTGTGAAAGAGAAGTATTATGCATTCATTATTTCTTCTTACCTTATCTATTTCAAAGTCATTCCTAACTTGTTGGGTGAGAAGGACAGCAAAATGGAAAACATCCAAAACTTAGTAAACTGACCTGAGCCTAATAACTTGGTGTGGACGGTCTCATGGAAGATTATAACGGCAGGACCCAGAGTTGAAAGGGGCACGTCCAAACCACAGCGTGCAGTTGTGGCTTTCAGCTCCTTCGTGAAATGCTTTAGATACGCATCTGATGCATCTCCAAGAAACTTGAAAAGATCATCATGTAGCCGGTCAGCATGTGTCCGATAGATGACCAGATCGGAGACTGCGAGCACCTTCAGGAGCAGGCGGGTTCGCTGTCCTTGGTTAGTTCCTGCCCCCAGAAATCCCTCTGTGTCAACAACCACCACCTTATGAAGAGGGTCCAGTGCTCCCCACACCCCGACGGTGCAGGATTCCTGGGTTGGAGATGTCTTGAAAACTTCACGACCCAAAAAAAAAGTGTGATTGAGGGTGTGAGATTTGCCTTCTCCAGTGTTGCCGAAAATGGACACCACCTTCAAGAGCTCCTCGGGCCTACAGCCTAATTTCCTCACAAACTCCTCCTCATCCTTGACCTGTTCAGGTTGTGGAAATAAATATAGTGTTTAATAATGAGTCTCACCTCACTCAATATCACACATTTTTCTTGTCACATTGTTTTTTTTACAACAATTGCATTAAAAAAGTTTATGCTCAGTTCCTTAATTTTAAGATAAAATTTGGTGATTTATTAGTAGTTCAAAAAGAAGAAAAAGAATCGCGCTTTGCCTTTCAAAATGCAACGTATAGGCTAAAAGCTGGTCTGGAACAACATAATTGAGTGGAGCAGATCGACAGTGAGTTCCCTTCCAGCTCAAGGCGTTCATTGATCACTCCACTCTAGAACCAGTCCACCTGACTAGTGAGAGAAAACTCCAGTAGGGGTTCAATCTTCAACTGGCTGGCAGGAGCCGCCACTGACAGGTCACGTGACCTGCCAGTGGTTGGGGGCAGCTGCCAGTGGCAAGTCACGTGACCTGTCAGTGGTTGGTGGCAGCTGCCAGTCTGATACTGGCAGCTGCCAGTGGCAGGGCACGGGGCCTGGAGGGCAAGCCGCAAACTTTAACGAATTTGTGCTGAGTCTTTCATGTTTTATCTTTAAACCGACTGTCATGTAATACTTTTCTTGTTTTTTTCTTTCTTTTTTTTTGGTTTAATTGAATAAAGATATGTTGTTTGTACTTTTGTGGTACAGAGAGTGGACACAAAAAAAAAGCCATTACAAGGTCACGTGTGCAAGGTCTTCAGGTATGCTTGACTACATGTATAACAACAGAGAGGTTTCTCACACACACACACGTATATATATATGTATATTTGTATGATTTCCCCTGTATGTATGTATATATATATATATATATATATATATATATACAGTTCAATCTTCAACTGGCTGGCAGGAGTTGCCAGGACTGGCTTCACGTGACCTGCCAGTGGTGGGTGGCAGCTGCCAGTGGCAAGTCACGTGACCTGTCAGTGGTGGGTGGCAGCTGCCAGTCTGATACTGGCAGCTGCCAGTGGCAGGTCACGTGACCTGTCAGTGGCTGGCTGGCTGGCAGCTGGCAGTATGCCTTAACAAGTTTCAGCAACCATACATTTTCGGCAGATTTTGTGTTTTGTGCAATTTCTTATTGTGAACCTGTTCAGTTCTTTACTTTTACATGGTTGATGTTTTAGAGGATTTTAGCGCGATTAAAGTGTTTGACTGTGATCCCAACTGGTTTGGTTATTGTCGCTTCCACTGGCTGCTCAATCAGACAGCCGCAAGAGCGCTCCGAGTTTAACGCATTCTCTACCACTCTCTCTACAAGGAAATATATTATTTTATGATTTCCTGCTCCCAAGAATTGTTGGGGGTAACACACCAGAACTAGGAAACCACTTTATACTCTGGGTAATGTCTGCAAGAAACTGGTTATAGTGCTGTAACACTGTCTTGTTATGCTGACTGTAACTTTTCAGAGGATAATTTCACAGGTTTTTGATGCCCTTTCAAAACAAGTGCGTATTTATGATTCAATGAGGATCTACAATTCTATAAAAAGGAATGACATGGAGATTCTACGGTAATACATTTCTCATCTTTACCAAGTCTTTTATAAAAACATTAATTATTCTAAAAACATTATATTAATAATACATAGAAAAGGTGAAAGATGCATGACAGGTGAGCTCTGTTTTAATCTAAAATCTGTATAGAGAGGCTTTCCAAAAACATGGGTCACTGGATGGCTGGACTGTTTGGAATCCAGAACAGTGGATGCAGCAAGACTGTGTGAACTGTGGGGTATTTGTGTGCACTGTAAGGTTTATTTCTCACTTCACTATAAAAATGTTTTCAATGTAAATGTGTTGTTTTGGGCTGTGAACAACAATGCTTTTTTGTTTTAAAGGCAGCAGAAATGGAAGCAAAAAATATGAAAATGTCATCTGAAGTGCTTCAAACATGTCAGCTAGTACACCTACGTGTTTACCATGCCACAAGCATGTTGAAAGATGTGACAACTGAAGTAAGAGAAATAGGAATTAAGAGTTTCAATCAAATTTGACAAAAAGAGAATATTACAATTCATATGTACTGCTGGACAGGACTTTCCGACTGCAATTGGAGAAACAGAGGAAAGCGAAATAGAGACCAACAACTGCATAGCCCAGGACATAAAAGCCTGCATTTATCAAAACACAGGAGATAAGTAAGTACTATGGCATATGCAAGTTTTGGTGTAAATGAATTTTGCTGCTGTTAAAATTACAATAATGTTTATGTTTTTAGAACTCTGCATCCACACATCAAACGTACGAAGTGTGACCTGTGCAACAAATGGTTACAAACAGATTGCTCTGGCATCAGTGGCGGCTCCTGCCAGCCAGTTGAAGATTGAACCCCCACTCGAAAACTTGCTCGGAGCGATCATGAATCTGTTTCACAAGTTATAATATTCAATTAAAAACTCCATTCTAAAAATTCAAATTCTGAAAATCGAAAAAGTAATTGTATCTACAATACAGATAAAAATCACACTAATCCGTTTTCCTACTTTCTAAAAAAGAGGCTCTAGCTCCATCAGTACTCGTTTAACGTCTCTCAGCCAATCAAATTTGAGGACCAGAACTAACTGCTGTATAAAGAGGGAAAGAGTTGTACAGCACAAAAACTGCACAAGTTGACTTACCTGCATATCTTCCTTTTCATCCACTAGAAGAAAGCTGGTGACTTGCTCCAGTTTAGCTTTCAACGCATCCAGCTGTTCATCTCCAGTGCTGCAGTTCTTCTCCGCGGGTTTCGAGGAAAGGTAGGCAGTGAGCGGGTGCTTTCTTTTACTGACCCCACTGTGAGTCCGTTTTTGACAGTCCAAACACAGATTGATTTTACATCCCTGACAGCGGACCACTGCTCTCAGCCGACCCCCGTTCGCTACACCCCCGTCCCCTTTACATGAATCGCAGTAAGGTACGTGGCTGGGTGAGATCCGGATCCTGTCGTGGTTCCTCATGCGCTCCTGACGGTGGAGCGCCAGCTCGCAGCGGATGCACTGCAGGCTGCCGCATTCGTCGCACTCGAAGGCGGCCTCGTCGGAGCCACCGCAGGCGTAACTCTCCTGACAAACCAGGACGCCGTTCACCCCCTTCTCCACCGACGAGCCCTGACTGTTCATTATACGTCTAAATATAACAGCGAGGTAGCGAACCGAATTTAAAGTACTAAAATCCCTCTGTAAATACACTGACTAGATATTCCTCAAAGCTGAACCAACTACAGCAGATACCAACAAGACAGATGATATATAATGCCTCAAATATGACGCATTTGAGATTTTAAACAAAATACCTTACTCGTTTGCCTTGAATTTCATTGGAATTCAAAATGTGATGTGTCAGATTATGACACTGTCTTAAAATCAAATATTCAATATGAACTATAAATAGATCAGTTGACATCCGTATAGCACTGGCACTAGGTCAGACTTGTCTAGTTTTCTGGTTGATTTTAAAGTGATCAAGCGGTCTAAAGTGTCTAAACTTACAAACTACAAGCAACAACCACCAACATGTATTTATTGGCACATGTAACCACTAAAAAAACAGCTACATTCGGGTGTTGTTATCGTCCTGGGCTTTGTTAACGTACTCAAGCTAGCTGAGCTTAGCATACGTGTCTGTAAAAACACCGCAAATTTCAAAGACTACAAATACTAGGGGGTTAGAAATATGACTAATGCAGCTGAATTAATAACGGCTTAGTATCGTACAGACTGTCCTTAAAGTATGTTCACCCAACAACACAGCTTTGACCGAACAAAACAAGCTGATTTCGAGCCAGAATCACACCGCAGTTTTCATCAAACAAGCTGCTGAATTCCCTGAAACATCGCACGCGACAACGACCCTTTGTTAAACACAAATTAATAAGCCGGTTGATGTCAAGATAACTGTTTTTCCCCACCAGCTTGTAAAATGATTCCCCTCCCCGGTAGATTCGGGTAAATGTTGTTGCCAGGTCAAATCAGCTGATCGGCTTGTTTTCACTGGAGCGGCTGTCGAAGTTACCAGCCGCAAAGACCGACGGGAAACGGAGTCCATTCTCCACACAAGCAAAATTTACTTATAGGATGTGATAGGAGAGTTTGGCTGGTGAGTAGTCAACAGCTATATGATTTCAAAAACAAGAACATGTTTGGGAACAGAGGGGACAGACTACTAAATATACTTCAAATCTTACAAGTATGTTTAAAAAAAAAAAAAAACTGTAGTCTGCTTGCAGATGAAATAAAGTTAATGAACACTTTTGTTTCTTAACACTTAAACTTAAAGTGCACTTTGCAATGTAAAAATAATTTTAAAGTACATTTTACACAAGTACACAACTTTTGTTGTGCTTTTAAATAAGTACACTTAATATGTAGACTAACATATTAAAGCACATGTGAAGCACTTGATAAAAAATTAACTGTTATTTATTTTTAGATTTAAAGTTTAAACTATTAGACTTTAATTTAATTGTAAATAGTATACAAATTAGTTCACCCTTATATTCGTCAAAATATATTATTTTAAATAATATTGTACTCTTTTAAAAAAGTAGCATAAAGTGTAAAGTCCCTTGTGTTAATTTTCACAAAGATTAAGTTGTTAAAAAGTCACCTTTATAACTTGTAAACATAAATCATTGTATGGACTATATTCAGACAACATTGAATTTTTCACTAATGAAAGCAAGGATCTGAAGGACAGACATACAGACCATTCTAAATGTTTTACTGTCTTACATGGTTGTGAAAATTTGACACCGTATAGAACCTGTATATACAAAAATCCCATCTATTTTTTTTGTTTACACAATACATTAATTTGATTATTATATTTATTTTTTTAAACATGCATTTCAAATAAATGGCTGACATCCAGGTACACAACAGTAGCAACAACCCACTGAACGGACTGTCTGGCCCTCATTTTTATTCACGTAAAATGAAATAATAGGCCTGTCTACCCTGAAAATGGTCAATTAGAGCGAATTCTTACATTTTCCACACCCCAGTCCAGTAGGTGGCGGAAAACCTCGTTTCTATTAATGTTCCAACGCCATACCCCATACGAAGAAGATTTTGCTGTTTGTTGTCCAGTGACCGTCAAAGCAATGCTATTTAATACTAAATCCTTATTCATATAATGTTCTGAGTCTGACGGTGATCAACATGGCCGAGGAAGAGTTCACAGACATAAATGGCAACTCGATTTCTTTAGACTGCCAAACTCATTCTGCTTTCTGCAGAGAGTTCACAGTCACCTCGCCAAAACTGTCCTTGCGCAAGGTGATGGTCTACACCTGTTTCATATGGTTATTTGCTTATGCTGTATTTTTCTTCACCGAGGTAAGAACATTTTATACTGTAAGAATATGAACTCATAAGCGTTCTAATACTAAAATGAGATTATTCTTCTAATAATGACTTATTTAATGTCTAGAACACGGCTGTACTGTCGAGTGCCATTATCCTCACTTTGGTTGGGATGATGATTCATATTCACTTCGTGAAGGTGGACCATGAGACCCTTCTCATAATCGGTTCCCTAGGTGTCCAGCTGTCTTCATCTTATGCATCTGGGCGAGAAAGCACGATCTTCATTGAGATGAGCAAGCTGAAAGACATTGTCATCAACGAGGCTGTTTATATGGTAAACATGCCGTTTTCTCCAGTGACTCTTGTGCATGATGGACATTTTGATCAAGAAACGGTCCAAAATAATCACCCTTGTATGTTTCCACCTCAGCACAGCATTATATACTATCTGTGCATTCTGATCAAGGACCCAACAGATCCTGAGACAGTGGCCAGTGTTGTCCCTCTTTTCCAGGTAAGAAGCAGCTGCTGTTGTTCTATTGCAAAAGCAAAATGATAAGAATCTTTGGCATGTCAGTCTGTAAATTAACATTTTGCATTCTTCCACCAGAGTTCAAAGCCTCGGCTGAATTGTTTGGTTCAAGTGTACAGGAGCTGTCAAGAGATTCTAGCACAGACCCGATGACACAGAGGTAATGGTTCGTGTTATGCTTCATACTATACATGTTTTACATGAATGACATATTTCTGTCTGTGTCTATAAATGTTTTATGGCTCTGTCTCTTTTACTTTGCAGAGTCTTTCTTTGAAACAGGATAAAGATCGGAGAAAAAAAACTCCAGAATGAACCATAAGTGTACTGTTGGTCATTTTTGTATTATCTACACTACATTTTTCTGTTACATGTAGTGGTTTGTTAGATTTTGCGGCCACAAACTTGCTGGCTACAGTACACCTGATTTAAAAACATTATTTTATGATCAGACATTTCATATTTGTTAGTGCTTTTATTATTTTTCATATACTCATGATTTTGATATTTAAACTTTTTGTAGTAAATGTTTTTAATGTTTTCTATATTAATATTGCAATGAATATAGCTGATGGTTTTTCCTTCTGATTCTGACCTTAATTAGCCACTAGGGGGACATGTGTGCCAATTTTTGATATCTGGAACAAAATCAGTTTATTATTAATGATTTTCGTGATCTCCTATTTTAATGTTTTAACCATATGACATTTTAATTAGTCATTTTGTTAGTAATTTATCATTTTTTCCTATTAAAAAATGAAAAATAAAGCTGTTTTGCTTAAAAAATACAATACAGATGTTGCATAGACATGTGCTAGAGTTGTCATTCAAGTTTACCTTTTTGGGAAAAGGAAAGGGAAACCACCCATGTTTATTTGTTCATGCTGTTTTGAGTTTATACACAGTGAAACATTACCTTCACTTTTAAAAGAGACTATTGGCAATGATTAAGAACACAAAATCCCCTTGTGCTTAAATGAATTTTCTGGGTTCAGTACGAGTTAATCTTAAATGACAGCAAATCTGTCATTATGTTGATTACCAAAGGACATTAGTTAGAATATTTTTCTCTTTTTCTTAAAATAAATAACCACAATTTGGGTTACAGTGAGGCACTTAGAATGGAAGTAAATGGGGCCAATCCGTTACGGTTAAAATACTCACTTTTTCAATAGTATAGCCACAAGATTCAACAATATTTGTGTTAACATGGTTTTAGTTTGAAAAATGATCTCTCACTGATCTTTTCTGTGTGTTTTCATATATTTTAAAGTGTGATTTATTCATTTGATGACAAAGCTGAGTTTTCAGCAGCCATTATTCCAGTTGTTAGTGTCATATGATCCTTCAGAAATCATCCTAATATGCTGATTTGCTGCTCAAGAAACATTTATTATTATTATCAATACTGAAAACAGTTTTGTGGAAACGGGGGTTTTTCAGGATTCTTTTATGAATATAACGTTCAAAAGAACATCGTTTATTTGAAATAAAAATCTATTATAACATTGTATGTATTGTCACTTTTGTTAAGTTTAATGCATCCTTGCTGAATAGAAGTATTAATCTCTTTAAAAAAAAAAACTGCTAATCCCAAACTTTTGAATGGTAGTGTATATCCAATTGACAGGTTTGTTCCCACATCAATGTAAAATGACTAAAAAATTACAAGAGCAGCTAAAAAAAAAACACATTTTAACAGAAGACATGATGTAAGTTATTTTATAAAATGTATTTTTAATGTTTCAAAACAAGCTTTGAAATTCCTTTTAAGTTGTCTGAAAATTTGCCCCTTTTGATTCCTTTGTAAGTGCCTCATTGTAACCTTGATTTTTGCTCCCTTTGTTTCTTTATTTGCAATAACCAACATTATGTTACAAATGCTGTTGATTGGGTTTAACTCGTATTGAAATCATGCTTGAGCCCGAATAGAACCTAAAGGTCAGAGTTCAGAGACCTTGTTGTTATTCAAATACTGTGTCCCATGTAGCATTGCTTCATTCCCCTCTGACCATTTGGAATGACCATTCCCATAGAGGCTGTGAAAACAACTCAGGGGTTTGAAATGATCCTGTTAGGTTGCTGTGAAGATGCTCCTGACAGGATAATCATCCCTCCCGGAGGTGCGAACCTCCCAGGAACTCTTGGGGGGG